TTAATCGGCTTCCGATCAGTTGGCCCTGTTCACGGCTCCACACACGCTGCGCGCCGCACCTCCTCCCCACCTCACGCTCGCCGCTGCCAGACCCGCCCGCATCCACGCTCTTCACGCCGCACCTCCTCCCCGCCTCACACTCACCGCCCGCCCACATCCACGATCGGCACAGGGACGCGGGGAGATGTAGTGGGGAGGAGCAGGTGTGGGGGGATGACAGCCGCCGATAGACAGGTCCGATCTCAGAAGCAAGTTGCTGGAAGACTGCTCAGGTAAGCCTGCACTTTCCCACACATGGTGCTCTATAATGTATTGCTGGGATTTGTATTCCTCTATAGCTGATGGTACATTGTGCTGTATATTATACATGGGAATACAAATCCCAGCAATACATTATACACTGTATGTATAATGTATTGCTGAGATTTGTTGTATTCCTATATAGCTGGTGGTATTCTGCATTGCGCTGTATAGAGGACTACAAATCCCAGCAATAATACATTATACAGCGCAATGCGGAATACCACCAGCTATAATGTGCTAGTGCTGGGATTTGCTGTACTCCTCTATAGCTGGTGGTATTCTGTATTGTGCTGTATAATGTATTACTGGGATTTGTAGTCCTCTAGAGCCTATGCCATTCTGCATTCATTGCTGTATAATTTTACACTTTTCATTTCATATTGCACACCACACTATTTTTTTTTCTCTTTTACTTCCACCGCTCCAAGCTTGCTCCTGTTATGGACTGCAATCTCAATACAAACTAGTAGACCCATCACTGGAGCCATTTAAAAAAAAAATATTTTATTTTTTATCCGATTTAACCGATTAATCGGACTTAATAATCGGCTAACTAATCGATTTTGAAAATAATCGTTAGCTGCAGCTCTACAATGCTAGGGAAGTAACTGTGACTAATTGGCTTTGAAGGTCCTGTAGACTAAATAGCGGCTGCTTTATTCCTGGTTGTGCTTCAGGAAAGGCAGATCTACCTCCAAAATATTGGTTGTTGTCCCTTTTAAAATCCAAGAATAGTCTTTCTTCACATACCCTGATATTTAAACCCTGGGCCAGTGGCGGTCAACTTTGGTATAAATGGGCCACAAGTCACATATAATGATCAGTAGATGAATACTATAAATTGTCAGAGACTGCAGACATACCACAGGAAGTGTAGCAGTTGGTTGGGGCCGCTGTCAGAATACAAAAACTGTGTGTATTCCATAATCTGTGCGCTCCTAAGCGTTGATGGAGGAATCTGTTCCATTTTTTTTTCAGCCTGCGGGTTGAACAAAAAAAAAAGTGTGTGGCCAGCTTAAAGCAGACCTTTACACTCAACATCAAATTCCACCAATGCATCCCTCTATGTATGTATGATTAATAATAACATAGACATGGGTGTAAAATGCTGTGATTGTGAAATACTTACACTTGCAGAGCATTCACTTCCTGCTTTGAAACGGCAAAATGACTTCAGTTTGGCAAAGCAATGCACACTGGGATTGCCTTGTCAGCAGAGCATTGCTGGGAAATGTAATCTGTAATCTCAGGAGATCTCGGGGAAAGGCATTTTCCTCCCCTGAGATGATGTGCATGGTCACATGTCCTAGTCGCATGTGCCAGAAATCCAGGAAGTAAAAGGGCTAGTAATCTGCCCTTAGTAAACATGGCCAGAAGATCGCGAACTGAGCAATCAGCGGTATGTGAACGTTCAGTTCCCGATCAATAGAGCCGACGCGTGACCGCTTCAGTGTCACATGTCGGCTCCAACAATGGGGATGAGTGTATTTCTACTTTTAATGCTTCCAAAACTGCTTCATATCTGTAATTTATGAGCTCCAAAAGTAGCAAAGCCTGAGGTCCCAAGAATTAAGACTGCCAAAAAGTGTGAAATCTGCCCATCCGGCCTACCTTTTAAAAAGTGCCACCAGGAAGTGCTGCAAACTTTCCTCATCTTGGCCAGTGAAACAATGACTTGCATGTATTCTTACTACTATTGCTGATTGGGCTCAGACAATTTATAGCATGACTAAAGGTCTGATCGTGAAACCACTCTCGCTTAATGTATGAAAGAGCTTGTTATATGTCTTTTAAATGTCTCAGCTGTTGTAAATTATTAAATCTAAAGCATCGTCTGCGTTTTATTGACTCTGCATAGCTAGCCTGAAAGCTACACAGGCAGTTTTTATCTTTTTTTTTTCCCCAGTCATCGTCCAGGGCAGCCTCTGAGAGACGGGATCCTCCCACCCGAAACAGGAAACACATGTAGCATTAACTGCATAATGGGAATTGTCTTTGGTTAGTCTACGAATGTATATTAAGCACATGTGTGCTAAAAGAATCCTCCAGAGCTCAATCCGGCTAGCTAGCCAAAGGGACCTAATAGAGTCTGCTGCAAATATTTTAATAAAAGCAGAGGTCTCATGTGCATCTTTTTGCCAATAAGCCCTTTGCATCCCTGTTAAGGGGAACCTCTTGCTGAGTTCATAGTGCGTTAGGGTTCTTTATCAAGTATTCTCATCAGGCTCATGTCATCCCTGTGTGGTGGAATTTTTAGCTTTGACTGTTTACGCTTGGATGTTCAGTAAGGCAGCAGGCATTGCTTGGGTTATCTCCATGGATCTCATAACAGAGATTTGTGTTTGGTCAGAGAGTTGCATGCTTCACCCAGCACAAACCTTCCGTTCGAGACTCGTGAGCCTTGCTTGCTGTCCAGTCAAGCTGAAGCGGTTAGAAAAGTTAAAGCAGAAATCTGGCACATAAGCTCTAAACACTGTAAACTGAATCTCTAGCTTCTCCCCTTTGCTATTGACATATATTAAAGTGGATGTATCCATAATGTTCTGCGTGAATACATTCCTGACTTGTCTAAATCAACAGCAACTGTATAATTTCCTTTAATCATTGAAATCAATCCCTGAGTTCCAGTTCAGTGATTTACCTAGTCACTGAGATTGTGATTGGTCTGCTGCAGGTAGGAAGCAACATTTTCGCAGTCTCCTCTCTCCCAGATTACATTGTGTCCAGCTCCACCTTTTTGTGGGGCAGGAGGGGGCGGTCTATTGAAGTGAATGGCACAGTAGCCACGCCCTCTGGCCGCAATGCGATCACCGCACGGGATCGCAAGGCACATTATGCCTGCGGTCCGGTCCGATCAAAATAGTGCTTGCAGCATTTTGATCAGACCCCAAGCATAATATGCCTTGCAATCCCTTGTGCCCGATCGCATTGAGGCTGGAGGGGGTGGCTACGGTGCCATTCACTTCAATAGACCGCCCCCTCCTGCCCCACAAAAAGGTGGAGCTGGACACAATGTGAGGCAGTGCGTTCTGGCCAGAATTGGTCCGGAACGCACTGCATCTGGTGTGAATGAGCCCTAAACGTTTGTAAACCCAGCCAAAGACTGCACAAGCACTAGAATTTAAATGGTTGTGTTGTGTCATGAGAGCCACCAGGAAGTAGATGGGTGATGGCTGAACAATGATGGCTCCGTCCTTCTGGTACAAAAGCAATTGAAGGCATTGTTATGTGTAGTACTGTGATCTCGGTTTGAGATGATATATCGGGGAGTGTTACTTAGCCGCCATGCACCTAATCTGAATAAATATATATAATGTTAAGTCCACTTTAATGGAGAACTCCTTCCCAATAGTAAGAGTTGGTGTGCGACACTGCAGATGTCATACGTCAGCCCTATAGATTGAGAACTGAGCGATCACATACTGCTGATCACTCAGCACATGGCTTCTCCCTGCAGAGAGCGGTGACTGTCAGTCACTACCCCCTGCAGGACTTTTCCAGGATCCCCCCCTCCTCTCTCTGTTCCAACACTCATTGGAGGGGGCGGGCACAGCTGGCTTTGCCTCTAGATAGGCAGAGACGGCTGTCAATAAGACAGCAGCGTGGATGTCAACAATATTGTTTGGATCTTTCCTTGCTGAAGAGCAGCTCTGCGCTTTCAGAATATAGTGGGCAGTCGTTCCCTCTATGCTGGTTTGGCCAGAAGTTCCCTTTTAATGACTCGAGTCGTGATATTCGGTGCCAGTGAAGTGTACCCTATGGCAAGCAGTGCTACTGGGGAAAGATCAGACCACCGATCATTCTTCCATCGTGTGCACCCAAGAGCGTTCTGCTCTGAGCACTCCCAGGTTCACAGTTGGCAGATGCCAGCAGGCTGTGGCCAGGTAAAAAGTAGATGGAGTACTGTCTTTGCTCAAACTAATTAGGTGGAGTGCAGGGAAGACATGAGAGGTCTTCATACAGGCATGGTCCACTGTTGTCACCAACAGGATACCCTTCTTGACAAATGCCATGCAGCTGTCGCTGGAGTATATACATTTAGACAGAAAGTGGCTGCAGCAGGAGTTCAGGAGACGAACACTGCGATGTGAGGAGGAGAATTCAAAATATGGTGAAAAATGTTTTATTAAAATAAAAATGGCTTTGGTTTGATATACAGTCATGTCATTCAGTTAGCGTTCACATCTACCTTAACACTCAGTTCTGGCTCACTTTAATGAACATATATTGTTTACTATTGATGTACAGATACATTGTACATTGTTGTGATGCTTCTTTGTTATAATTTGGCCATGTTTAAATATTATTATGATGTGTTTTATATTTCAGTACTTCTAATAAAGATGTTGATGAAGGTTTGAATTTCTTTGGCTTGCATGCTCCCGTGGTGCAGTCCAAGGAGGTGGATAATATTTGCAGGGGTATCTGGTTTTTGATTTGTAGAATTTCTGAAGGTAGTTGAGTAAATTATTTTTGTGTGCGTGTGTTTTGGGTTTTTTCCCCCCCCCCCCCAAGCTTCTTAGTTAATAGTAATTAGACCACTGAGAGTGCTCTACAGGGTGATTCTGCAGAGGTAAATCATTAATATCAAAGCAGCGTTGCAGATCCATGCCAATTACTTGTACTTGTTTTGTACTTTGTTGTGCAGTTTCCCAAACTCATCCTTTATCTTTTTTTTTTCTGTCTTTCTGCCAACTGTAGGGATATGTCCTCAGCACCTACCACTCCTCCATCAGTGGATAAAGTAGACGGCTTTTCTCGGAAGTCCGTCAGAAAAGCCAGGCAGAAGAGATCCCAAAGCTCTTCACAGTTCAGGTCACAGGGCAAGCCGATCGAGTTAACGCCTCTGCCTCTGCTTAAAGGTAAGTGAGCAAGCCAGTCAGTTTAAGTCTGTTTATTTATATGACCTATCTGAACAATTTTTAGTTTGGTGTTTAGTGGTGCATCAATCTTATCTTTGCTTCAAAGACCATCTCTACCCAAATTCAATACACCAGTTTTTTAAGGCTGCTGACACGTTGAGTTGCCTTCTGGGGTCTTCGGTGTCCAGATAATCCCACTAGGTTCCAGTTATAATTTAGATGACTGATAACTGGAGCCTACTGACAAAGCATTAATGACAAAGCATTACTCCATTATATGGAATATTCAAATTGTGGAGACTTCATGGGCCCTATATTCCCTTTGTGGGTCTTTAGGAATTGATGGAGAAACAAACCATTGGGGTGGCATCTTGTGAGCTGAATAAATCCACCAATGCCCTCTCAAACCGGACATTGTCCTTTTTCCAATTTGCACTGATCTCATAATTATATGCTATAGAGGACTATCCCATCAATCCATAAATATACAGCAATGGAGAATGGCAACCGGCTAACCCGGGCTGCATTTGGCTGTCACCAGTACTGCTTTTGCATCTCTCCAGGGCTGAATGGGTGGGGGCCTGACTTTTAAAGGCTAAGGGCACTTCTAACCACCTCAATACCATCATATTGTGACAGATAATGCGATCACCTCGAGATACCGTGTTTCCCCGAAAATAAGACACTCTTTTATATTTATTTTTTTTGCTCCAAAAAAACACACACTAGGTCTTATTTTCAGGGGATGTCTTATTTTTATTTTATTTTAATGTGCAACAAAATGTACAACAATCTAAAGTTCTCTGGTATCACGGTAACTGGCGCTATAGAGGAAGTTCCGGCTAATGCGGCTCTGCTCCCTCCACCGCCGCAGCCTTGCTTTCTACAGCGCCGGCTTCCTTTGCCATCAGGGACAGTGGTACCAGCGGTGCAGCAGTGGAGACATCAGACAGTGGACAGCGCTTTAAAATACAGTACCATTTACCGGTACACATTACAGTACCATTACATTAAGCAGTGCCTTCAGGGGGACAGCAGTTGGTGAAGTATGGTACTGGAGTGCTCCCTGTCACTGCGCTGGCCGGAGGGAGTCCCCTGTCATCCCCTTCATACAGTATATCCCTGCAGGCTGATACCATCTTTCCTGCTCTTTAAGTTCCCCCTCACATGCTACCACCAAACTAGGTCTTATTTTTGGGGTAGGTCTTGTATTACAGGAATTTTGAAAAATAGCGCTAGGTCTTACTTTCGGGGTAGGTCCTGTATTACAGGAATCTTGCAAAATAGCGCTAGGTCTTACTTTCGGGGTAGGTCTTATTTTTGGGTAAACGCGGAACTAGTTTCCAAAAAGGGGTCATCTTGGAGGTGCTGGTACTGTTGCAGCATTTTTATGTGACATTTTTTTATAACGGGAAGTAAGAAAAATAGGGATCTCTTTTCCAAGCTTTTTGATCTTTCTTTTATATATTCAAAAAGCCAGTGTTATTAAATACCACCAAAATTATATACAATTCGTTTGTGTACAGTATTGTGTTAGTGTTTAACGTTTCAATTTCCATGATGTATACTATACATAATTGGCCACCTAAGGGGAGGGAAAGTCATAACGCATAGAATATGTCCTCGGCAATCAAAGGGTCAGGTTTCCTATTTGCATAGCATATTTGGCAGTGTAAGCATCATTATCGGAGCATATACAGTCAACAAATGTTGTATGCATGTTCGTTCTCTTTATGATTTGAAATTTGCATTAAATGAGTGTGGGGAAAAGAACCAATCTCTCTACATATTATTTTAGCAAAAGTTTGCCTGTTCTCCAAAAAAAAAAATTGCACAGGTAAATTTCCCAGGTGCACTGTAGTGAGATGAGCCTGCAGACAAGGTGGTGTTAATGGTGGGGCACATGTATTGGTGAGGGCAGGGGAAAGTGTATACAAGTGCATTGTTGAGAGAAGGATTAAAGGCGCAGTGGGGAAAGTGGTAATAGTAGGGGCAGTTTAATGGTATGTGTGTGTGTGGGGGGGGGGGGGGGTGGTAGGCGAGGAGAGGATGCTTTATGCATTTAGGCATAGAGTGAGTAGTATGCATGGGTGTGCTCTTACAGAGGGGTATAGGCATGACGATGAAATTGGTAAGTGGGTTTGAGCAGGTGAATGCCAAAAGTGGGGTACAAGATGGGCGTCAGTTAGAGTGGGGCCAGCAAGGTGTGGTGGAGTGAGAGCATGGGGAGAGAGGAAGAGGCCTACAGGCATTGGGGTGATAGCAGTGTGTGTGTGTGTGTGTGTGTGTGTGTGAGCGCTGGAGAAGGGGTGTGCAGGAGAATGCTTAGGTGCAGTAATTAGAGAAGGGTGTGGAGTACATGTTCTTTGGAAGGAGGGAGTGGCGGGTGGTGACGGAAGAGAAGGTAATTGCATTTAACTGTGCTAAGAAGCTCTTTATTGGTCAGCGCGGTCACCTGACCACGCCGATAACTGCTCGCAATGTGCAAGCAAAATTCAAAACCCATAGCTGGACGGCAGTATGGGGTACAGATGGCACACCTGTACTGTCAGATGGGTAGAACCGCTTGCCAAAAGGTAAGTATAGGGGGGAGGGGGAAAGTGAACTTACCATTTAATGCACATTGTGCATGTTAGAGTTCTGCTGCCTGGCTACAACAATATGGCACACAGTGGAATGGGGACAACACTCAGCGTGTATATACACAGACACACACTCAATGCCCTATGCGTGCGTTTTTTCGCATGCAGATGGGGGGGTTGGTTTTAATTTTATTGTATTTACTTTAATTTTTTTTTTTTTTTACTTTTATTATCACACAGGGGCTAACAAGCCCCTATTTGGTAGTGTTTGGAGGTGACAGGTTCTCCATATGGAGCCTACTCTGCAATACAGAAGATGAAGCACAGCATTGTGCTTGATCTCCTGTGCAGCCCAGGCTATGTGCTTCGATGCATTACTGCGCACACACAGGGTGCAGTGTGACAGTATACTGCACGTGCGTGGCAATAGATGCAGGTAGCTCCCATTTAGGATGTATATGCAGCCCCAGCACCATTTTAAACCGCTGTTATGACAGAAACCCATGTTAGGGCACAACCCCAGCACCATTTAAATGCTTAACGATGGAACTCTGCCCACCTAACCTAATCGACTTACTATATGAATACTTTGAACGTACAATCTCTATAATGGACTAAAACCTTTAAACATTTTACTTCCTTTATTCTTCTTTTATAATATATAATGTACGTTTCCTCAGCCACTAACCTGATTCAAACCTGCCCCTGAAGGTTTAAATCTGATTGGCTGTTAAGGAGAAATTGCTCTGTTTCTTAATAAGAACATGTTCAACTAAAAGGCCCATAATGGCGTGCCTTTTAATGTAAGTTTATTTAATTTAATAATGCATATACTCCATGTTTTTAAAGGAGAACTATGGGGTTAAGTCTTTTTCCCATAGTTCTCCTTAGGGTAACGGGAGGACACAAACTAGCCTCCCGTCACCCTAGGCTCAGTATACCGCAGGCTGTAGCTCGCGGTATACTGAGACGCCACAGCTCAAGCGGATCCCGACAATTGTGCCGGGATCCGCCTAGCTGCGCAACTGACAGCTGGCTCTACCTATCTAAAGGCAGAGCCAGCTGTACCCGCCCCCTCCCCCGTCCGTTCCGCCAGTCAGCGCTGGCGGATCGGAGCGGGGAGGGGGGAATCTAGCCCCTCCCCTGTCATGGCAGAGAGCCGTGACAGGATCGAGAGGTGAGTGAACGCCAGTATGTGTTCCCTCACCTCCCGATCTACTGAGCCGACCTGTGACAGTCTCATTGTCACAGGTCGGCTAGAACTATGAGGTGAGTGAAAATCACTGACCTCATAGTTCTCCTTTTAAGAACTCCAGAAAGTCATACTTACACTGTGCATAGCTCACATTATGCTTTGCAAAAATACCCAGCCTTTTCTGTTCCAAAAAAACCCCCAAAACAATCTTTACTATTACGTCTCTGCCTCCTATAGGTGTCGGGGAATTATATGGTTTGTGTGATCCTTCCCAGCAGAGTAGATCTGAACCAGGGAAAAAAATCAGCTTCTATAAAGCAAGAAGGTCTTAAGATGTAAGGTCCTTGCATTCTGGCTGATATTCTTACATTTAGTTTGTTGACTTCTGATCTTAAGATGCTATCCTACTTGCCCATTAGATACTTACCCATCGGTCTCCTGTGTAATACAGGATACACACTGAGCACATTTCAGCTAGTTTTTCATGAATTGACTGAAATACGCTCAATGGGTGGCCCTGTCTGCCACCTCCTATCTGACCTCCTGCCATGGAACAATCAAATGAGTTGGCTGTATCCAATGTTTAGGTTTTTTTTTTGCTCAGCCCAGAAGCTGAACTTAAACTACAGGTGTGCACCCAGCTTTAATTTCGGGGAGATTTACGAAGGAGACCAATAGACTGGTACAGTAAGACTCAGTAATGTTCCTGCTTCTAATACCGCTATAAAGTTTGAACCAGCAAAAAATATCTTTTTACAAAGCAAGAGGGTTAAAAAATATCAGTCTTTGGTGGCCTGCATTCTACTTTCTCTACCTATCCAAATCGGCATTTGGCAAGGTGGATCACCGCAAGAGCTCAGGAGGAGCTGTGAATGTGAAGCATTAGCATATGAGCTTTCTAGCTGCCCTGATTCTTCTTACTTCTCACTGGGGCTCACACCCGACAAAGTTTTTAAAATGATCTAAAACTATTATTTGTTGGCGCATCTGCTGTGATTAACCAATCACTTTCATTGACCAAGCTTTTTGGATGTTGAATGCAGACATGGTTTCTGCATAAGAACCATGATGCTTTTTTATACCTGCTGTTAAGACTGGAGAAAGTTTGACACCACATCACATAACCATCTAGGAGAGCTATAAATGTAGGATTAGTCTTTTGTTCATATGCTAACTGTGATACTAAATTGGACATTAGAAGGACACACTATAACCTCCCAAAA